GCCAGCCGGGCCGGTTCTTGTTCCTGGATAGCTGAATCAAACCGGCGAACATGAATTTGCTGACGGATCAACTGTCAGCGCTGTTCTTAGAAAGCTAAAAGGTGCCTGCTGTTCAGGCGTTCGCACGATCTGTACGCTTTTCATTGGAAAACTAGCAAGTTTATACTCTTACGTGGGAGTTCGGCGGCGCGGCTGCAAAAAGATGAATGACCTCAGCGACGGCGCAGCCGTCAGTGAGGTCATTCATCCTTTCGTGCTTGGGTACGACACAGAAAATAGCGTCACTAATGGCGCTGTCATTGGTGCGCGTGCTTGGGTGTGACGTGATGAACGAAATCACCTCTGGCATAGCAAATAAATACCGTTATCAAAACTTGTAGCGAGTGGTTTTTAGTTTTGTCTCGCTGTATACAACTCATTCACAATAGATGGATCAATGCGAATTCTTATTGAATGCCTTTTGGTGCGCGCGCGTAGCGAGCCAGTCTCACATTCAGACACTCGGGCCAAGCCTGACCGCCAAATCGTGGGCCTTCTCAATAGCAGATAGTGCTACTACACTACAAAGGTTCATCATAGCAGAATCTAGTATTTGACAATGAATTCATCGTCATTTCATTCTCGCTTCTATATGCCAAAATAGTTGTTAAATTGTGTGTGTTATTTCCTTAAGTGACGTTTATAAGTAAAGGAGATAACATATGCAATTTATCAATTCCTATAACACTAATGTCGCATATTTCAAGACATATCAAATTACTACCACGTATTAATTCTTCGAAATTGCAAGAAGCATGGTTCTTTTGATTATCTGAAATATTTTGTTTGCTGGGATCAATAGTGTGTTTAACACAAAACTACAAAATGTGGTCGCTGTAAAAATATGCAGGTATGTAAGCAAGGTTGCGTTTGTACCTGATGTTGTGCACTGGAAAATTCAACCGCATGGTGTTTTCGTTTGTTAGTGAGAATGACACCTGCCGTTTTAATGAAGGCAATTTCTTGGGGGCTGCGGCGGCTGCACTTCCGATGAAGGCAGAAATGTGGTAGGCCCGTGTGCTCAGATTTGGGTGCCATTAAAGAACCCCAGGTGAACAAAATTTCCGGATCCCTCCACTACGGCGTCTCTCATAATCATATGGTGGTTTTGGGACGTTAAATCCCACATATCAATCAATTTCTTGAAGGAATGTTGATCAGCAATGCTTTGTTGACGCCGGCAAAAAGTACTTCCGCGTTTAGAAAGACATACGATCTATTTTGTAGCTAAGAACTGGCACATTGCACGCAGAAAAGAAAGTAACTCTACTTTAGTCCTGTGAAGAGTGAGCGTCCGAAGGGTCTCTCTATGGTCAAATAACATGACGGCATTGCTTGCTTGTTTTCATCCATATGCACCTAATAATGGCAAAGATGTGCCTGTCTTCACTGAAGCTGATTTAGATCGCTTCACTTTAACACGACAAAAGCCTGCGAACATCTCATTGTTGATGGTTTTACTGATGACAGAATAGCTTAGAGTATTCAGCAGCGTCTGTATTGTTACACCGCAGGTGTAAGTATTAGTATTTTACGTTTTACGGTACCGTCCCAAGAGCATGAAAATTGTATTGAAATTCCATGGACCATTTGAATTTAACAATGTTGTAAGAGTGTTCGTTGAGCCTGTTCTTGTTATATTTGGTGTTATGCTTGCGGACAACATTTATTCGCAGTTAAGGGAAGGCTACGCAGCCAGGGTGGGTGTGTGGCACTGCTGAGGAATGTAGTCCCGCAATCAAGTCTGCTTTCCGAACCCATCTAAAGTTCTTTCATTGCGCCAAGTGCACTGAAATGCACTAGGAAGCGCTGGAAATTTTGTTTTTTTCGAAATGGGAAAAATCTGGTTACACAGAAAGTTTTCTTTACAGACTATAGCTGCCTGAACTACAACTTGCACTGAATTCGAAAAATGAATTGTTGCACGTCAACAAAGCTCGCTCAGGTCTGTTAGACTGCAGGAAACTGAAACTATTTCCGAATTGATTTGACTCAATATTAAGCGGGATTGTTGCAATGAACTTAGCATTGATACTGGCATGACGTGGCGTTTCCGCTTCCTCGTGAGACCGTTTGTTACATTCATAACGCGACGTCTTCATTTAGCAGATGCAGCATTGATATTCGTGAAAACGTTTATACACGAGAAATCACCTCGAACACCACTTATGTGATGACATGCCATAAAAAAAGTGTGGCCCGTTGATGTGCTTCTTTCTATTGCACCTCAATTTCACATTTTTTTGCCAGTTCCTGTTGAAAGATCATAAATAAATGAACATAAATAAACGCCCTGAAAGGAACATCACACATAGCTTGAAGTAACTCTAAGTCAGCTAATAAATGTGCTCCTGTAGGGACATCAAAAATGTTTCGGATTTGCTTTTAATCTAGGTGAGCATGTTCACTTTTTTCATGAAGGCTCCATCATTATTTTGTCACTAATTTCTGTTACGGCCAAAATTATTATCGTTGACCAAGTCGGTCCATTCACGCTACTTCTCGTATGGAACATGCACGATGTCACTTTAAACACATACCTTATCACCACGATTATCACGATTTATTTGTAGGTGAATTTTCCCCATTGAAGTTATAAGGTTGAGCGCAGGAACACAAGACATGTTCTTTTAGTCAGTAGAGCACACTTTTTTACTTTTTCGAACTCCCTGTAGGCGCCTATCTTCACGCAATCACACCTGAGAGATTTTTAAATGCCTTGTGGACCGTTGGGCTTCTGACCGGTGTGAAGTGTATACGCAAGCACTTATGCAGACAAAAGTGTCTTTTATTCGACTCGGCTCCAATAGTATAGCAGTTGCAAAGGTCTTTTGCATGCGAGGCAGCTTAGAGTCGGGCTCAATCTGGCTTGCAGCGTGACAAGCCTACTGCGCATGCGGGTGGGCTTCCCCTTCTCTCCTCTCCAATCATCTTCCCTCTCTCGCCTCACGAGGCCGACGAAGGGAGCTTCTAACCTACGCTCGGTCTCCTCTCTCTCACCTCTAGGCATCCCTCCACCCTACACCCCCATTTAGCTTGCGCGTACGATTCTCTGTTCTCTCTTTGGAGGCGCTGCACCGTGCTTCCTACCAGGCTGCAAAAATCAGGCGTCGTCCTCCTCATCTTCTTCTAACTACCACCACCATTACCACCTTCTCTCCACTCCTACACTCCCGCCTACCTCACATTGCAACACCGACGCAGGCAGCGTCGGCTATGGAGGAGGAGGTAAAACTTTATTAGACCAAGGGATTTGGGCACTTACGTCCCAGGGTCCCCGCACGACCACACTGCGCTATGCGTTCATGAGTTCATGCAGTTCCATGACGTGGGTGGCCCGGTCAGTGGCAATTTTCTGCTTGGCCGGGTCCGTCGAGCGCAGCAAGGTCTCCCATTCCTGCTATGGAGTTTCTTGAGGGAGATAAAAACTAACTGCTCGCGCCACACAACCGCTCACTGGCCGCATCATACATATAAGCATACAATCTTGACCTTCAAGGTAGCGCCGGTGGGAGATTTCTTGTGTGCGTTGTCGAACACTAAAAATTCCCAACGTGCGCGTCAACTATAGTGAATGGCGGGTCTCTGTGTCCAATCGAAGTGTTCTGTCTCTCATTGGCCATTAGAAGCGATTGCCATGTTTCAGTAGAAAACACCGGCCCATCACAGAATGATTTGCCTTCTCCAGGTTTCTCTCCTGCGCAACACCGCGATAAGTGGTGTTGCGCAGGAGCCAACGCCGCCGCCAGTGTAAGCATTAGCGCCCACAGCTTCGCGTTCACATAGTTTACTTTAGCGGGACTTGATGTAAGTTTTTTATTCCGCCTTCCTTATCTGCTTACAAACTTCAGACCCCAGAAGTTGTATGACGCCACTTTGTACATCATATCTTGTGCGAAGATCGCTAGACGAAAACCCTAGCTTTAAGTGCTCTAAGCTTCTCTTGTCGTGGGCCTAAGATAGCATTCCTATGACAATATAGTACAGCTTACGCCAGTATATTAAAAAAAGACCAATTTGCTCCTCTGGAATGGTTGAAATCACTTATCTTATATGAGGACCATATTTTTATTCACATATCATTGTTGCTTACCTACGACTCGACTCTTATTTAAAGAAAATAAAAGAAACCCTCTGCAACTCATATAGTGTACATGCCTGGGAACAATGCTGCTGTAGAGAATGTGTAAGGACTACTATTCCATACTAAGTGCCATGTCAAAAAGAGGCGATACAAATTTTGCAAAGATCAGAACAAACTGTCACTCGGTAAACTACTGTTCGATACAGTTTGTCATTACCCGTGACAAAACACCACGCAAGAATATATTTCTGAAACATACCATTTAGTACGCACTGCTTTGTAGTTTTACGGTTCCACTCAAAACGTCTAAAAGCGCTCGTAATTGTTTAACATGAGCGAATGAATACCCGATGTCGTTGGGACAATCATAGAAATGGCAGCACTGTCTGTGTTGTTCAGAGATGTATGACAAACAAAAATCTTGCTGTTCGGAGAGAACTGCGCTGCTGCCCAAAATCAGTCAATGTAGTGGAACCCCGTCATGACATTTACTGAGTTTACAATAATTCTGATGCCTATGCGTCTGACAAAAAATGGAGTGCGCTCAAGAGAAACAACGGTGTAGCAAAAAGTCTTCCACTAAATGTTATCCATGCTATAAGTGATGACTATTTTCATGAACAAGAAATCATGCAGTCAAAGGAGAGATTTCAATATTATGTTTTAAATTATTTGGTCAGAAAATAATTGAGAAAGAAGTATTAACAACCCAGATTGTTTTCGGCAGGACCCGCGAGTATTCAAAAAAGTTATATGCAGTGCAGAAAGCGCTGTACATTTTTACCTCAAGATGCTCGTGAGCACCACCGAAGTATCGCATTCGTCGTGTTAGTCGTTATAAGCTAGAAGTATACTGAACAATTTTTTTCGTTTGCAGGTGGTGGACTGCAGCCAAAAAAGAAGAGAGGTGGGTACAGGCTCCGAATTTACCACAAAACACCTTCAACTTGGACCAAGTGATATTCGAGTAAACTCTGGGTAGTTGACGCCGGTTGGTCTTTACGCCTCACATAAAATAAATGCAATTTGTTGGAATATGTCCACGGTATGTCCTCGATATGGTTCATTGATTTCATGTTGAAGATTATAACTCCACAGAAACGTAATACTGTGCCAGGCCAGCAGTCCCATACATTCGTATTATTCTCCGCAGGAGATAAATCCTGCATAAGAATGGGCACGCCCCCAGCCAAGGCTCTTGTCCACACAAAAACTTCCCTTTCAATCTTGCACCGAGAGGACCTATATACCTTAGTGAATATCGTGTATGTGCCACTGTGAATTATTTTACTGCTATACTGGTGACATGCCCCTTGTTATTAGAGGTTACTTATTTAAGAAAGACGTCAAGCTATGACAATTTCTCCTGTATTGAAAGTGTTTCGAGTGTCAGAAAAGTTTGATATCTCACACACAAAATTGTTTATTTTATATGGTTTACTTGGTATTTTACATAGAGGAAGAAAACTTTTCTTTCACTTAGCGACAGCTGTTATCGACGAAGCTCCAAATTTGAATTGATCACACTGTTATTATCGTTACGAATGATGGCTGATTGCTTCGTAGGCTCCTTCGTACACTCCAAATATTTTCTACATTTGTTCTTTTAGGCAGTTTTAGGCTGCCCGCATTTATTTTGTCACCCACAACTGGAAGTGACTGCTCGGCAGTAGATAGAATTTTCTGTCACGTAGTTGCGAGGATACACTCATTCATGTTATAGTCCAGCTTTTCGTCAGTTTCATGTGGCGCGATAAATATTGCAGTCAAACGTACATGTGTGCTTTCTAGCATGATGCTCTAGTGGCTTATACAGTGTCATGTTTTTAAAAATGATCTTCCTATCTTTCACAAGCACGGTTACTACGCTGACTCTTTACGTCCTAACGCCATATAGAAGAACAAAAACACGCCCCTAAATTAACATTCTAAGACGTGCGACTTTCAAGCACTTCTGAGGTAGTTCCATTTTCGGCTGTTTTATCACTGTCATATTTAGGTAGAAAATATTAAGAAGAACGGTATCACTCATTTTGCCCTACCGATGAATAAATTATGCAAGCAGTTCCTCGTATCAAGTAGTGCTGTGATGAGCGTGGTACAAGTAGTATAAGGCTTCTGCCTCACATTTGGGCGAAAATTGTAGTAGAGGAGCACCCCACTGTTGGTTAAGGTGTAAAGAGCACCTAACACGTCCGAACGGGGAATTCTCTGCCACTTAGCAGGTTTTCTGGCCAGCCCAGAGTTCGCCTGGTAGGTTATATTTTCACAGATCCTCGTCCCACTTCTTCTTGTCCTCCATACAGGAGACCGGCGTCAAGCATACCTACTACCTGCGGCAACAAGTTCGCATGTCCACATTACTTCGAATGAGTGAATGTTTTGTTGTAGATCAATAGTGCTCATACGGAAATAAAAGGGATGTAATTTAGTTCATAGTAAAGGTAGACTGACTGACTGCGTCGTATTCAGTTCATTTTATCATGTGCAAAGAGAGCAGCCATCTAGAAAGAGCGTGTCGGTTGTTTGTGTTAATTTGGTATTTGTCACAAGCACAGTATACTCATCTGCAACACCTACAGCGACACACGAACGCATCGCGTACGATTTTTTACACATTCCTCGTTAGTTTTTAATCTCAAATGTAAGCTACATGCAGCACAAAACAGCGCTTTTATTTTGAAATGAAGCTTCCAGTCTCGTGCCAAGGGCATTACGTCAGTGTAGGCACATCATAAAACATCATCGCCGTGCATGTTGTAATATTCACCTGAAGGATTGAGTAATTGGTGCAAAAATGGCAGAACCAATCTATTGTTAATATTGATTGATTCGATTTAGTTCGGTGCCCTATATATCTATTCGTTTTTCTTTCTTATTTTATCTTTACCAACCCCCCTTTTTTCACCCACGTATGCACTGGTTGTCATGCTTACCTTTTGATTTCAATCGCCTTATTGACAATATTCAATAACCATATATTGAAAAGACACTAAATAGTGATGGACGTGTCACATTCTTCAATCATGAACAACTACTTGAACAACACATTTTCATTTATTCAACCCTGTTTGAGGTATTCAAGGTATAAAGCGCTTTCTTGTGCATTGTTCCTTCACCTGTCAGTTCGCTCATAATGTTGTGTGCTGTTAAATTGAAATGTGAACATTGTTCAAGCTGTCGCTATTTTATAAGCGAAAAAAACCAAAGCATTCCAACTGCAAGTTATACGTAATGTGTGTATTCTTAGAGAGAAAATTTTTAAAAGCTTAGTCGTTTTGTCTAATCCCCATATTTCGTTGGTCTTTACCGATGATGTTTTGTACACGTTCCGCCTCGATGCCTCATAATACCCCGTGCTTTTTTCTGTGATCTTAGCACTTCCTTGAAATGCCTACTTTTGCTCGAGCGTTCCGCCAGCAAACACAATATTAAATTAAGCCATCACGTACAGCCCACAATATGATTCTAAACTTCAGAAGTTGCTAGATATATTTCTGTGATGTAAACATTTCGAAGCTGTTCGTAACGAAAATCCATTCAACAAAATCTCCCGCTAAGGCTCAACAGCAAAGGTGTATTCAATATTTCATGTCACGTTCCATATGACGCTATTGCTAAAATTATTCACGCTATATTACTAATTTCTGATAAGCTGTACAGACAACCTATAAATATGTAATAAGTTGCAAAGAGGCCTTAAGAAACGGGGCACTCGCAATCAAAAAAAGTGCTGAAGTAGTACAGCTGGCGTAGGTAAGAAAGCAAGCACATGGTTTGAGGGCGTTTATTTTGTTAGACATGTCAACTTTTACGTATACGTGACGCCATATGAAGAACGAGAAAAGGTTTCTCATTCACCGTCTTTGCGTAGCACTCGACAGTGCAGCCTTAATTAGGTGCTCAAAAGTGCCTAATGAATAGAATGTGGAAGCTTGAACCCACCACTGAATCTGAATTTTCGGAACATAGGATACGTTATTTAAGATTCGTGGGTTTGGACCCTACCGAGCGCATCGATGTTTGTCCACTTTCGTTTAAGTACGAATGTCTCGTAATTACTTCTCAACAGTTACATCCAAAAACTTGATGGCCCCTCTGTTCTCCAACTCTACAATACCAGCTGTCGGAGTTGCTTATGATCATTTCTGTGACTACTGAGCGTCATCATTGTTTGGTAAGGCGCTCCCTGCAGCAACCAATAAAGGTTCTCGCATAATATCTACGTACGTGCATAATTAAAATGTATCCCTTTCATCAAGCAGAAAGGTCCAAGCTGCAGCAGTATGATGACCGCCATTTGTAAATATTGGCCTAAAGAAGATCATGTACAATATTTTGAATAATTCTTATAGTAATAATTCCTTTTTGTAGCGAGTGAACCGGCTTAAGCAGATTTGACACATTCAGTGGCTAGTGTGCGTGTATTGTTGAGCAGCGAAATCATAAATGGGCACGTTTCAGGTGGTGCCTGGTACCAACAAATGCCTGTCGCACTCACCGAGCACGGGCAATTAGCGTTAGCTGCCACGACCAGGATAACACCAATATATACATAAATATAGCTAATAAATGGAAACAAGAAAAGCAAGTGCTGTACCTTACAGGTAGGGTATTGAATGCTTGTTACGAAGTTTCTATGTTCAGTGGTTACCTTTAACAAGTTAATTTTTCGTTCTCTAAATTCATTTGCATTGCTGTATGAGGCAACATAAGAGCTTGGGATCCATGTTTTTTTTTTTCAGTCCAATGAAACTCACTTATTCCACGAATTTGTTGAAGAGTGTTCATAACATATGTTCTCAAACTGGCTCTGTGAAGGATACCGTAGAGTTCCGTGCACTGACCGAACGAGTGTGAACCACTCTTCTTTTACACGCATTAGCAACTAATATACTTATTTAAATGAAGAAAGTAGCATTGCTTTTTGCAATTAGAAAACTGTTCTCACCCGCATCCGCACAACGGGCGTCTGCGGGTAACGAGGGACCCACGCAAACGCAGAACTAAACGTTCTTCGTCTACTGCATGTCATCAAACTTTCACAATTTGCAGACCGTTGTGGCGAAATGAGCGAATTTTGGCTAATTTATGGTCGTGAGCGTTCGACCCAGCTTAAACGAGATTAATGGGCGCTTCGGTGCTTAAGTCGTGGCTTTGATAAGCGAAAGGCTACTCGTATCATGCTGGCTGAGGGCTAAAAGACCGTTAAGGCTTAGCTTTCGGGTTGGCGTATTGATCGATAGCTCTATCGCTGTGCAAGTTACGTGCCTCCTTTTTTGAACTGCGATATGTACGTACGTCCGACGATTTTGGTTGTGTGAACACATGGCTTACGCGGCGCGGTGGCTGAAGCTTGCATGCAGTGTGCGGTCGGCGTGTGCAATATGTTACTCACGAAACGGCATCAGGGGGGAGGTGGAATCACAAGTCAATTTATCATTGGGAGTGCTACAGCAACGACGATGACCTTCGATCTTGACTAAAATAGAAAAACCCAACGCTAAGAGTGTCAGTACTGTGAATGTGTACTCAAGAGGCTTGTACCCCACGCTCTCTCCCTACCGCACTTTTAACTGTCTTCATGCCGAAGAAAACGTTAGTGGTCCCGCGGCACCCTGGGAAAGACGTCGGAGTTTCGCAAGGCCAACAAGCTTGAGAGCCACTGTTATAGAAGATTGATTTTTTTTTCAGAACATGAGTATGCATTATGCACGTACGTAATGCATATATGTGGAAAGAAATTCTCACACTGTTGAACAATTCTTATTTGATCAATCCTTGTAAAGCTGTTTAACAAATCAGAGTCCGTGTGCTAAGACAATGGTCACCCTTTTTGCAGAACTACCCGGATATGAAAAACCTTACCATGTCAATCGAAACGGTACAGTAAAAATATTTCTGTTTCATTTTCGTAGCGTTTGCAGAAAACTGAAAATGTCAGTAATATGAAACTTCCTGATTATCTCGTTCCAAAAAAATTTCTTAATGCAAGTCTTTTTATACCGCATATAAATGATAAAATGTTGGTTGGTAGAAATTTGTTCAATTTGTCATTTAATCTATTCTGTGTAATGGTATTTTCCTGTAAAACCCATCCAGCCTGGAATATGAATTGAGGATTGTACGCCAAGAACACAAGTTGTTGCCAAATATTTATCAAGAACAACCAACTTACCCAAACTACACCCTTTCAAGTTACCGCAGAAGACAATAGCGCGACAAGTACCTTACCTAAAGAATTAATGTCAGGCAGGGTGCAGTGGCTTTATTGCGGGAGGAGTAAGTACAGGTTAGTCTGTCGGGAAAAAAGTGGCTCTCATGGCATCGAGGGTAGTGACTACTACAGTACGGGCAGTGTGGTGGAGGCTTACAGGTGATAAAAAGCCTCGGTGGAGGCGGAACGTATAACACCACCTATGAAGCAGCACAAAACATTGCTCAAGTAGCATTATGGTGACAAATTGCTCGGAATAATACATGCGATTTTGTTTACACGATGATACATTGACTTGGCAAAGATATGAGGAATTAATTCATCGTACTACTCCGTTCTCGAGTACCTCGACTGAATTTATTACACAATAATTTCGCCGACACCAAAACACCGCGGTATAGTCAATGCTTGCTCCAGCAAAAGACTTGTATGTTAGCGGCTTTTATTTTTCAGTGGCGTAGAGTAAATGTGGTTTTAGATATATGTTTTCTTAGTGCTAGAAAACAGGGCCCAACACGGAGCGCCAGATAAAGGGCACACGGAAAGCTAGCTTACAACAATAGCTTTTTAATCTAATTTGTTCAATGCATACTTCCCCATTTCGCATGAAAATGTAAAGAGGGAAAAGATATAACAATGAAAGCATCATCGACCGGTAAGCACCTTCTATGCTAATCACATGGTGCATGCAATCTCCTGAGATGAAGCAAATGTTGTCCCAGAAAAGAATTGTTGGCTATTTCACGCACGCACTGCTGGCTGAAGTTGCTATATCTATAGCCTGCAGGATTGCTCATCTCAGCAGATTTTGACAGCGCATGACAAAAATAAATGCTGAAAATTGAGGAACCAACCAGTTTAAGAAGCAGATACCACGGTGGCCAGACGCCACTGAACATAAGATAGAAGCTTGTTTGATTTGTTCAAAACGCTGGCTGGTCTGGCCAATGCAACGCTTGTCAGGAGGCAGGTTTGGAAAAGAAATCTTACATTCAGCGCACGGAGGAAGGGCACTCCTAGACTTAGTTTTTGCAAGTTTGAATGTACTGAGCACAAGGGTTCACGACCTCACAACTCCTCGCAATGTTTTTGGGGGTACAAGAGAAAACATTCGCCAGGTATCTAACGGCAGCACTCTTTACATTGCGACTCGCACCATTGGTGGCACGAAGGGCAATAAAATTTAACTTATCTTGTCCGACGTCTCTTTAATTTGCTGGATCAACTGCCTGTTTGCTCATTTTCATGGCATCTAGCGCACAAGAGTGCTGTAAAATTAGGAAATCCAGCGTTAGTCAGTAGCTCCAACTATAGAATAAATAGTCCCTGCATCTTGTGATTTGAAGACAATTACTGAGAAGGCTCACTTATAGGAGAGCAATGGTTTGCTAACTTGTGGCCCATACGCCCAAAAGACACAGTTAAAATAGAGCGTTAAGCTTCAATATAGTAAAGGAGGAATGGGCCTTACATCAGGAAATGGGTGGATTATACCAAGCGCCGGTACACACGAGAAACATGTGAAGTGTTATTCAGCGGTGCATGTAATGTTTAGCCATCGTTATCTAACACTACAACAAAATCATCAACTTAATTACTGATTTTTTAGCTTTTAGACAACCTTATCACACCTGAAGTGGACGGTTCACGTTATCAGAAATGAATGAAGTGAAGATAGGTGGTATGTCCGAACAAATGCAATCTCTTCCGTCTTGCGAATGAATATAGTCATCGTAAGCTAAAGTTGCAGTGGTCGAACTGTTGTTCTGCTTCCTATTTACATCGCTGTGTTGTTGTTCATTGTCCTGGTGTGCGACCGATAGCGGCACTGCAAGCCTCGCATGTATGATGTCAGTTCGAGGATTCACGCACTTTCGAGGCAGGGCGCTGTATAGAAACCACTGTCGTGGTAAAACACGACAAAGAAGCAGTTCGATTGGCTGTCTTGTGTGTAGTAGCTAGCGACGCTGTTCTAGCAACTATGGGTGTTTACTTTTAACGCTTTGAAAAGCACAGCGCTTTGTTTCTTAAAACTACTGCCGCTTGTCTCCATGCCGAGTGCAGCACAGCGGTGGAGTACTGCGGTGTGCCTCACACGCGTGAAAAGGGTGCGAGCTTTTTCAACTATCCTAAGGACCTGAAGCTGAAAAAAAGTAGATAGTCAAACTCGAACAGGGAAAGTGCCCCATGCTTTCATCGACCGGGTGCAGCAAGCACTTCTAAGCTACACTTTTTAGTTAGCTTGTGACCGTGTTTCAAAGCATTCCCAGTACTTCAGCCATTCATATCACGCAGGCTACTGTTGTACGCTATTTATACCAGCTGAGGAGCCATCCATAAACCTACCGTGAAGGCGCCGCGAAGACAGGGAGCCGACGACGCGGCTTCCGAATCGCCCTGGAATAGCGCGCCTCATGATCGCAGCTGAACGGCGCAGTACATCTGAGGCTACAGCTTTATTTGATTAGAGTGCGTACATATATACGTAGTTTATTGATGAAGACAAGTGCGCGTCCACCGCGCTGGTTACCATAAATTCATAAGCGAGACCTGCTGCCACGGTTCAGTGTACATTCTCTGAAGGTGGTCACATAATCTTTGTGATCCTGCACGTACTATAAACAATCTTCGATAACTATTTGTGAAATTTTGATACCCTTGCGATGGCCTTGTGCGGTATTAAGAATTACTTCAAGATGTCTTTTTGATTCAACGAACAATACTGAGACAAACTGCAGTCATTCGTATGGGCTAGTGGGTGCATTAAGGAGGAACTTGCCCCTTTTCGGAGTCACACCAGCAGCTTCCCCTGAAGACTTCTCTTACTGTAATACAACACGGGCTTGCGTCGAGCCGATGCCCATAGCTGCAATCTAAGCACGATTATCTCAAATTTTGTAATTTAATGCAGCTTTGCATTTTTGTAGATGCCATAAATTTTTCAGTGATTTAAACATCTTCTCTGCAATAATTATCTCATGTGTTGTTCGCGATGCCAAAGTGGCGGAAATAGGCGATTCTCTCACACATCCCCATGTTCACTGTTACTATATCATTGCACTGCAGAAAATATATCCGAAGAAAAAGGGTAGGCGTGCCCTTCCCTTCATGATTGTTGTGAAAGCTAACGTCCTTTTCACGGCAGGAGGAAGCACACGGGGGCACAGAGCAGTACTTCACCATTGCGCAGCACTCGATCACCACTTGGACGTTGTATGGCGGGTTCGCAACTCCACGTGTTTGTAGGACCAAAGCCGCGATGGTGAGTCGATCTCCATTGACGGCATCGGCTGTGCACAGTCAACAACGTGGCCTGCGTCGTACACTACCACCCCATCGATGAGACACCGCGACGTTTCGCTAGCTGTATCTACATGCTTGTAAATGCTGAAAAAAGGTGCGCTTATGGAAACTTCAAAACACCCAAACCAATTAGTATCTCACGGCAGCAATAGCTGATGACGAGCGAGAGCACTCACACATGGTTTTGCTTCCTTAACAGCAGTGCAGTCGGCGACAACGGCGTGCTCATCAGCCATCTGAGCGGATTCTTGGCACTGTATATTGGGCTGCAACTAAAACAAATATATAATTGAACTCAGAAACAATCGTTGTGGGCGTTAGTTGGCTCTCACAAAGCTCTTCGTTCGATAAACTTCCCGCCAGAAGCAGACAATCCATGCACAGGAGTAGCGGCTGCTGCAGCGTGGTCGAGAGCGGAGTCCACAAACTGACGTCATAGGCGAGAGTACGTTACTTCAAGATCTAGGGGCCAATATTGACGGTGACTCGTTAGAAAGAGGAATAATCTACGACTTTTGATTGACAAAGCTACGTATTGCGTGCATACGGGGGCTTTCGGTTTATTTAGAGACAAAGGAAATTGATTACTTTTTACATGAATAAACCAGATCGCGCATAATGTAGAGTTGCTATATGACAGCCCAAGACCACTGCGCTCATATGTCTTAGGTTAAATAGTCTATAAGGACACAATTGAACTACCATTATGACATCGATATGCGTCTCGTCCCGAAGTTTATCATGCACCCAACAAGCGTCTCATGCTGTTCATATCATGAGTTATAAATATTATCGGTCATTGTCTAGTGTCTACCATGACAACTCTGTTTGATCTAGGCACTGTAATAGATATTACATCCCCAAGACTGTGCAGGCCATACATATCACGACGAACATTTAGTGGACATGCGTGAGCTCATTTATTTCAAATGTGTTAGGACCTGAAGTGTTCTAGGTTACACACATACATGCCATGCCAGTCAGGGTGTGTGAAGGCAATGAATTGGCTGTGAAACACTACAACTAATACACATAACCTGCACGAATTGATAGCTATGTTGTGCCTCACTGTGGTGGTCGACTGGCTAAGGTACTCGGCTGCTGTCCCGCAGGTCCCGGGATCAAATACCGGCTGCTGTGGCTGCATTTCCGATGAAGGCAGAAATGTTGCAGGCCCGTGTGCTCATATTTGGGTGCACGTTAAAAAACCCCAGGTGGTCGAAATTTCCGGAACCCTCCACTACGGTGTCTTTGATAATATTATGGAGGTTTCGGGACATTGAACCTCACATATCATTAATATGTGGGGATGAATTCCCACTTATTGTTGTTAGCTGCTACTTAGGTTAATTGTACATCGATGT